CTGCACTCTAGTCTGGGCGACAGAGTGAGACTCCAACTCAAAAAAAAAAAAAAGTTAAAGCTAATCTGTGAAATGTGTTACACACACATACACACACACACACACACACAATAAATCCCCAAAAGAATGATAGTGGGATAGTGGTAAGTAGGGATTTTAAGTCAGAAGATAAGAACAAAGAAATATGAAGAATCTGAACACAGGTTGAGTCTCCCTTATCCAAAAGGCCTGGGACCAGAAGTGTTTCAGACTTCAGTTTTTCCCAGGTTTTGGAATATCTGTACTTACTGATTGAGTATCCCTAACCCAAAAACCAGAAATCCAAAATGCTCCAATGAGCATTTCCTTTGAGCATCATGTCAGTGCTCATAAAGTTTCAGATTTTGACCAGACACTGTGGCTCATGTCTGCAATTCCAGCACTTTGGGAGGCCAAGGCAGGAAGACTGCTTGAGGCCAAGAGCTCAAGACCAGCCTGGACAACATAGTGAGATTCCATTTCTAATTTAAAAGAAAAAAAGGCTTCAGATTTTGGAGCATTTTGAATTTGGGAATGCTCAAACCTGTGTTAATTTTGGGATCCTGAGAAAGGAATGTCACTGATAATAACTGGTATAAATACAAAGTCAATTCATTAATTTATTGTTTATTTCAATATATCTTAACAATACAAATATCTATTATCTGATTCTCACGTACAGGTAAAAGTTCTGGTAGATGAGACCAAAAACACATACATTATTTATTACTTATCAGCTTCCCTATAAACTTAACTGTTCATCAGAACCACTTTAGCTTAAAGAATTCTGGCCTCTACCTCAAGAGATTCTGACTCATTAAGTCTGGAGCAAAACACAGAATCTGAATGATGGTTTGGTATATTATACACCATTGGTTTGTTATTCTTTGTTTCATTTGTATAAGTTTGGTCACCATCACATGCTTTTCTATTTTCCACGGTACTTATTAGACATGAAGCAGACATTAGTAATTGCAGAGCACTCAAAAGCTCATGATAATATTTAAGCTTATGTGAAATAAAACTGGTTACATAAAATCCACATATTTGGGAAAACAGTTTCTGGTCACATAGCTTCTTTATACATTCAGAAACCAGAAATGCAAATGCTTTTTGTTTTCATATTGCTGTGTGGGTTTTTACCTGATAATAACATGTTCTCAATGATGGCTACTATAGTTCAGTTCACAGCTCCAGAAATGTATTAACTCTTACCAATCTCCTTCCCTCTCAAATTTAGACAAAAGCAAAACATCCAGGTATAGTAAAACCCTGACCCACTACCAAGATCCTTAGTTGAGAGCCAGGTTTTCTCCACACTCTCCTGGTATCACCTCTTATATCTACCTTTGTGCTATTGAGAAAGTAACATCTTCAGTTTATCACCACAGACAGGGCTAATAGGCCAAAGGAGAGCAAGCGCTATACCTTTGTGCCTCTTGCTTTTCTTTTTTCTGGAGATGGTTCTCTCATGGATGCTCTCCTCCTGGGCATCCATCTCATCACTGCTGTCGATGATGTCACAGGGCTCACAAGCCCCAGAAAGAGCTTCCTCTGCAGGAACCTGGGAGGCTTCCAAGCCACACAGAGATTTTACTAGAAGAAAATAAGGAGACAATGAGATGGCACACAGTTCCACCCCAAAACACAAACAACTTAGCCAAGGTGTCAGCATCCATCAGAGAAAGAGGGAAAAAAAGTGTGAGTGAGTCTGCTGGAGAAAGTTGACGTTCTGTTACCAGATTTTTGAAAACAAAAGTTTTAGTATCTTAAATATAAAAATTGGAAAGCAATGGGTGGGCAAAATGACTCCAAAGTCGCAGAAACCGACTCCTTAAAAGTGCCAACTTCAGCCCTGAAGAAAAAGGGAGTGCATAATTTTTCCACTATAAACCATGCAGGATAAAAACAAAAGACGACATGTTGTCTCATAAGTTCTGGAGTGGAATGTTTGAGACAAACTGATCCAATTTAACCCTGGTCCTGGGCTGAAGACAGCAGGTGTTATAAAACACAAGTCTCAGGGACCTATGAGTAAAAAGCATGAAAGCAAGAGAAACACCGGAAGAGGAAAAGAACACTCCAAGGTTATTACACAAGGAAGCAAATTGTAGAATAATACATATGTGAACTACAGGAAAGAGATTAATACCCAAGTAGAAGGCACTGGAAACTAAAAAAGAGTATGAAAAAAAATTTTTAATGCAAGAAAGAAATAAAATTTTTCTTTTACAGAAACTGCTGCTCTAGGCTAATAATCCTCCACCACCCTCGATACATAAGTAAACACTGAGGAAAGCAAACACGTTTATGGAAAGATGCCCAATGGATTGCAAGAAAAACACTGGGACACAATCCCAGAAAAACAAAGCAGACCCACGACCTGGGTCTCCAAGGTTCTCCTAAAGCTTACCTTCCTGCTGCACAGCGTTGGCGACGGCTTTCTTGACTCGTCCAGACCTCACGACTGCCGGATCCGAGTTAGCATAATCCGCCACGGTCACTGAAACACAGCACCCACCCTCAAGGAAGAGGCCTCTCTCTTCAGTGTCTTCCCCACCAAGATCCCCTCCTCCCCGCTACGGGTCCCCGCCCGAGCCGCTCCCCGGCAGAAGCGCTCACGTCGGCACAGTCCAGCCTCCTCCCCGCTACCAGTCAGCCTCTCGGCGCCCCTACCCCCGTCCCACCTCGACCGGAGCAGGCGTCGTGGGCCCGAAATTTGAGTCGTTTTCCTCTCTTGGGCATGGCGACCGTGTCGGGACGAGACCGGCCTAGAGGACCGGGACCCCGGGCCATGTCTCGGGCCGGAGAGCCGGCCCCCAGAGCCGCGGGCTAGCTCCGCCCGGCTCCGCGGCCATCCCGCACCGGAGGCCGCTGCTCTCGCGAGGACTTGGGCCAAGGCTCCGAGGCGCATTGGCGGCCGACGCCCCTCTCCGGGAGCCAATCACCGCCAGATCCAAAGATTCGTCATCACCCGGCGCCCGTGGATCGATCGGGGTCTGGGTTCCACTTGAGCAGAGAGCTTCGCTTGTGAGATGATCTCAGACCAGATAGCCACGTGTTGATGAGAGCTGAACGTTTACATCCTGGTCTCCCGGATTCTGCATGCTAACACCTCTTTCCACGCTCGAGGTCCACTTCAGCACCCAAATGCACGTCCGTTGTCATCTTCGTGCTCTCTCGGACCACATAAACCAAGCGCCTGCTATTCCAACATGGATTTAGCTATGAGAGTCTTTACTCTCATTTCTGAATTATATTTCTGAATTATCAGAATAGAAGGGATTCTTAAAAGTCTTTCAGTCAATCACCACCCCCAAAAAGAATACTAGAAGAATCGATGAGGAAAGAGTAACGTCTTTCCTTATGTACTGTGACAGAAGCGAGTAACTGAGTGAAGGTCACAGAACTGTGAGGGACCCTGCTTGGGCTACTATCACCAGGACGAGTAAGAAGTTATTTGGTGTCCTGAGTTATGGTCTTCTTTATCCTTCCTTGCAGCTCCTAAAGGATAATAATCCCTGACTTGAGAAACAGTACTCAGGGCCCAGGCATCCAATCAGCTGTACCCGCCAGAGAATGCCACCCTAGGATATGTATTTAGAAAGGGACTCCTATTTTTAATATAATTAGCTAGCACAGAGAAGTTAGGAGAAAACCGCTGGACTTTTGCTAACATTATGCAACAGAGTACCACCAGGGGTCGTGCTAATCGGCTTGAATCAATTTGGAATTATAATTCAAACAGTATCATTGATTATAATCACGAACTATTCCAGTTTAATTTATCTAAGTTATGCCATGAAACACGAGTTTAATAGACTGTTAGCTAAAAATTGTTTCAAAGTGTGCAATGCATATACACTTTTGTTGCATATATATGTACAACAAAATGTATATTTTATATGTATAAAAGTATAAAATGTATATATGTGTGTATATATGTGTCTGTGTGTGTGTGTGTGTGTGTGTGTGTGTGTGTGTGTGTATATATATATATATATATATATATATATATATACATACACACTTTTTTTTGAGGCAGGGTTTCACTCTGTCACCCAGGCTGCAGTAAAGGACAGTGGCACAGTCACAACTCACCACAGCCTCGAACTTCGCGGTTCAAGTGATGCTCCTGCCTCAGCCTCCCGTGTAGTGGGACTACAGGCCCACACCACCACATTTAGTTAATTTTTCTATTTTTGGTAGAGATGGAATCTTTCTCTGTTGTGAACTCCTGGTCTCAGTCAATCCTCCTGTCTTGGCCTCCCAAAGTCCTGGGATTACAGATGTAAGCCTCCATGCCCAGCTCAAGTAATTTTTCTGTGTATACATAATTCATGTTTGTAGTCATGTTCATAATGCAGATGGTAGGCGCTGGGCCTTCTCATTTCACAATATCAATAAAAAATTCATGAGGCCCATGTGCATGTAGATATCTACTCATGTGGCACCCTATTGAATACACTCAGGCATTCAGACTGGAGGAAATAAAACTGCAAGAAACAAACCCTATTAATATACTGTCACTATCAAAAACTTGCAGGTTTTAACTGAAATGTTCTTTAATTTTTTAATAGTATTATTACTATTTTATTTAGTTTTATTTATTTATTTATTTATTTATTTATTTATTTATTTATTTATTTATTTTTTAGTTGAAGTCTCACTCTGTTGCCCAGACTGGAGTGCAGTGGCCACTCCCGGCCACCGCAACGTCCACCTGCTGGGCTCCGGCGATCCTTCCACCTCAGCCTTCCAGTATTATTACTATTTTAATGCAGTGGGTGAAATATGTGCTAGTCCCCAAAACTGTTTATTTCATATTTCAAAATTTCAAGACTCAAAATCATAAGCAGGTCTCTCAGACCTTAAGTCTTTTGGCCACTATCATGAACAAGTGATCTGTAGATCTTTTATTCCACCTTTTTATTTTTTTAATTTATTACTTTTAAGTACTAAAATATAAACACACAAGCATTTCAATATACTATTTATCTCTGGTCCTTCAAGTAGCACTAATTTCACATAAGGTTCTGAGTCTTTCTTTTGCCTTCCTTCCCCTCATCCCTAGTCATAACTGAATGTCCTCCCATTTTTTATTTAAAAGCAACAAATCCTATTAATATACTATTTCCAGACCCAAGGATACCGGTTCTTTCTAAAAAGACAAGTTGTAAAAGTTACTAAAATTGCTATTATATTTCAATCCAAGTGGCTTAACCTAGCTATTTGGAAGAAAATAGAAGAAAAATGTTGTTCTCAAATGTTTGTCCTCAGAAAAGTGGGAAATTTAAGTTTAATAATAAATTTTATGAATATATGTAGTATTGAATGTTACCCTTCTAGGTTATGTCCACCCTACTTTTTTTGGTATTAAGTTGTTCTTTATTCTGTGCTAATAGTAAATGGTGGAGTTGTTTGGTTTTGGAGGACCTTCCCTGTCTAAACTTAAAAGTGGCAAATCTATGTTTGTTGCCAGAATCTTCTTTTAAATTTTAATCACCTGTGAAATCCTAAAGCCTTGGAATCATTGCTTTGGAGGCACTGAAAAATTACTCCTTATGACTTGGATAAATACATGATAAGTTGAATTTCCTGCTGGAGGCAGTTTAGTATAATAAAACAGTATTTATTCTGGGTTTTGTTTTTGTTTGAGTTAGAGTGCAGTGGCACACTCACGGCCACCACAGCATCGACCTGCTGGGCTCAGGCGATCCTTGCGCCTCAGTCTTCCAAGTAGCTGGAACTACAGATGGGCGCCACCACGCCTGGCTAATTTTTGACTTATTGTAGAGATGAGATCTCACCAAGTTGCCCAGGCTGGTCTCAAACCCATGGGGTCAGGCAATCCTCTCACCTTGGCCTCCCAAAGTGCTGGGATAATAGGCGTGAGCCACCGTGCCCAGCCAAACAGTATTTTAAAAGTAGTAAAGACGTAGATTGTGATGTCAGACTTGCATGGGTTCAAAACCTGCCTCTGCCACGTATTATCTATGTGATCTTGGAAAAGTTACTTAACTTCTCTGGGCCACAGTCTCTTTGCCTATAAATTACAGATAATAACACCTTCTTCACCAGGTTATTAAAGTAATTAAATGAATAAACCCATAAAAAGCATTTAAAATAGCACATGGTAAGTTCTTAGTAATGTCAGCTATTATTATTACCATCATGATAAAGTTGTGGTTGTTGTTATTTAAAATCACCTTAAGTGACTAATTCCTTTTTGCTTCTACTGCATGAAGAGAGAATATATGGGGGAGTCAGAAGCAAGATAGCCCATTCCAGTTTATTAAAATGCTAGAAGACTAGCTGGTACTTAACATATAAGTGGGAGAGGCAGAATTCAAGGTAAGGCCTGTCCGTCTTCAAAGTTTATGTATTTTATTTTTAAAAACACGATCTTGTACTGCCTCTAAAATGAATAAAGTCCTACTAAACCTTCGCTTTTGATGAATATCAGTAGCTTAAGCAGATATAGAATCAAACAGTGGCTACATTGGAAAAAATATGAACAGGAGACAAACTGAAAGCATACTTAATGAATTTCTATGATGTGGGCTACACTTACAACTAGAAACATATTCACTTTGAGTCAGTGCCAAAGCTGTGGGAAAAGTCTGAGAAGAATCTGATTTAGGCCAGGTACGGTGGCACACCCATAAATCCCAGCACTTTGGGAGGCCAAGGCAGGAGGATTGCTTGAGCCCAGGAGCTTTAGACCAGCCTAGGCAACACAGCAAGACCTTGTCTCTACAGAAACCCCAAAAACCAGCCAGACATGGTGGTGCAGCCTCGAGTAGTCCCAGCTACTCAAGAGGCTGAAGCAGAAGGATCTCCTGCACCCAGAAAGTTGCAATGAGCTGTGAGAGTGCCACTGCACTCCATCCTGGGTGACAGAATGAGACTCTGGCTCCAAAAAAAAAAAACCTGATTCAAAATTTGAATTCAGTGGCACTAGAAAAAGTACATTAATTAAATCTGGGGAAAAATTTATTGTGACTAACTTTATATGCCTTATGTAAATAAAATAGAGTATATGGTCAGCTGGGCATGGTGGCTCATACCTATAATCTCAACACTCTGGAAGGCCGAGGTGAGAGGATTGCCTGAGTTCACGGGTTTGAGACTAGCCTGGGCAACTTGGCAAGACCTCATCTCTACAATAAATCAAAAAATTAGCTGGGTGTGATGGTGCATGCCTGTCGTTCCAGCTACTTGGAAGGCTGAGGCAGAGGGATCACCTGAGCCCAGCAGGTCGAGGCTGTAGTAGCCATGAGTGTGCTACTGCACTCCAGCCTGGGTGACAGAGTGAAACTCCAATTCAAAAAAAGTAGTAAATAAAATAGACTGTATGGTAAAAAAAAAAAAAAATAGTTTAATTATGTTCAGATGAAGGCTGTTTTTCAGTTAAAAAATAATAGTAACAATAGAGTAGCCTAGTAATGGAAAGCTCAGGTTCTAGAGATAAATGCCTGGGTTTGATCATTTTTCTTCCTCTTAATAACTATATGACCTTGAGCAAATTACCTAATATCACCGAAATTCAGTTTCTTTATCTATAAAATGGGCATAACAATGGTTCTCAACTCACAGAGTTGTTCACAACTATGGATTAAATGAGATAATACAATATATGGACACAATATATGTACCTGGCACATAAAAAGCATTCGATAGCTGGGCACTGTGGCTTACACCTGTAATCCCAGCATTTGGGGAGGCCGGGGCAAGAGCATTGCCTCAGCCCAGGAATTTGAGATCATCCTGGGCAACATGATGAGCCCTTGTCTCTACAATAAAAGACAAAAAATTAGCTGGGCATGGTGGCACACGTCTATAGTCCAAGCTACTTGGAAGGCTGAGGTAGAAGGATTGCCTGAGCCC